TCTTCGTATTGTAAGTTTAGATCCCATCGAGAGATGTACCTCGTTCCAATTTTCCACTTTGCCTACGTTCTGAGATATACCGTGTGTTCCACGTCGAGCGCACCATAGGCAAATAATTGAACTAATGTATTTTTTTGCGAAGGATCCACGAGGCCCTTGATATTGGGAATGGGCGATGCGTAACTGATATCACGAACAATTTTCTGTACACATTTTTGCCTCAAGTTAAGCTGATAGTTTTAGTTAACCTGTTTTCGTCAGAGTGAAGTTCCAGCAAGTGGCCGTCTCCGTTTAGAAGGATTTTTATTAATTGACAAGTTCTTCGTCTAGTTTACGAAAGTGTCAAGTTATGTTATAATTTTTGTTAGTTAGACTATTCATACCAAAACGTTTCGGTAAATGTTATAACGAATCATGGTATTTAAGTGAGTCTTCCTTTGCGAAAAAGAGCAAGGATGGCTTTTCAAAGCTTGCTTTTATGAACTCGGTGGAGGGGATGTAGAAACTGAATTGTTCTCCAAGGGAGAAGGGGCATGAATTATTTCCTGAGATGTTGTTTTTGAAAGTGCGACGTACAAACTATAACTTTCCCGCGCGACTCCTTTTCGAGGGGTCTAGAAATTAATTTCGTGATATTCTAATTAAAGGTCTCAATCAAAGGAACTGATTTCTGCCAACTGCGCCCTTTTTTCTGACTCCTTATCAAAGAAGGGGGTTGGAGGTGGAACTGGTTTGATCCTTCATGGTACTCTAATGAAAGGTATCAACGAAAGGAATTAATTTCTACCAACCATAGTCCTCCTCTCGGCCCCTTATCGTGATCGGATATAATTCCTTACATCTCAAGAACAGAGTGTCAGAGGAGGATACTCACAAAAGGCGATTGGGACGTATATCCATTGGTGATGTCAAAACTTTAAGAGCGAATATCTCGAAAACGGTTTGTAGGAGAAAAGTACTCTCAAGTGCAAAACAAATCGTCTGGACGAGACGTATCTATTGGTGATGTCAAAACCTTCAGTGCAGAATATGCAGAAAGAAGTGTCGGGGGAGGGTACCCACAAAGAGAGAAAAGATCGTCTAAACTTTCGGTGTCGGACTCTTTCGCCAAAATATGAAAATCAAAATAAACTCATGCAGTTTTTAGACAACATGCTTTCAAATAAATTATCGGTAATTTTGATGCTCTTGTGCAATTACCTACGATAATCATTTCCATGGTAATTTCTACCAACCCGGTAAGCCGGATGCGTTTTTTAAAAATTGACCTTTGCGCGAGTAATGTCATGCTCATTTGCAATTAAAATCTGACTGCATGTTTATAATCGCTATAACCGACAATACCAAAATTTTGCAACTGCTTGACTGCTTCTATCCTTCTAATAACATTTCTTGTCAAAGGCAAGAGGTTGTTTATCTCCAGTTACAGGTAAACATATTTCATTTTAAGTTATTGGAAGTGGCGTAAGTATTTGATTGATTTGCTAACTTTTTTGTATTGCGGTCAAGTGTTTTCAGCATGTACATTGTACGTACATAAATGATATATTTGTTCCTGTTACATAAGATATCCCTCCTAAAAGGTCCAAGCTAGTGTTTGCGGTTGTTTTACTTTGAGAGAAGAAATACAACAGAATAACTATATAAGGTCATGTAGGATGTACGCTTTTTAACACGTTTCATATCTTTACGAGAAATCGCGCATCCTTAAGTGAGTTATTGCAGCCAAACTAACTAAATAATTCATTAGAATAAGTTATCTAAACGAATTTATCTAAGGTGTTTAAACTTTTACATATTCCACCTGATAACCATCAATATTTCTTTGAATGAATCACCGTCTAAATTTGAAAAGAGTCACCGCATGCCAAGACAATACATGAATACACAAGTCAGATCAGTCATTGTTATCAATGTAACAAGTTGGGTTTAGATCGTACGTTTCACGTGTCCAGCTTACCCTTCAATTTCTTGGTGGATCCAAAATTTCGGCTCAATACGTCATCTACTATTTTTATCGTATTAAAAAAAATGTATGTACCTGATAGCTGCGTAAATTGCGTCCGTCGATCCGACTGCTTTAGATCTCAATATTGAGAAAGTATTTTTAGCTTTCTAGCTTGAGCTAGGTGGCTATTGCTATCACTGTTTGTTGGACATGTTAAAATTTCATCAAAAGTCCACGTTGTAGATCATTTTAAGCAACTTTTAAAAAATAAAATTTTTTTTCGCCCGTATGTATGTGCGTACGTTCGTACGTGTGTACGTTGGTAATTTTCCGAGGTAACGGCTCGACGGATTTTGTTCAAATTTTGGATATCTATATTAGGCATACGGAAACGAAAAATAACGAGCCGGATTTTTGAAAAAAAATTTTGGAGCGCCGCAACGGCATCAAACTTTTTTTTCAAATAGCAACCTAAATTTTTTTTGGTTATTCGAAAGACCTTATTTTCTGTGTACAACCTATAAAAATTGTGCCAGGTTTTATACAAAAAAACCGAGAAAAAAAATGGCGAAGTTAAAAAAACTAAAATATTTGTTTTCGGCAAGACTAAATTAATTCTAATTAGGTATTACAATTATTAATAATATGTTGCCTTGTGACATGAAATAAAATCTAAAATCAATAGACAAACATGAGCAAAATTTAGAAACAAGTAAAAAGGTTTTCGCCCTAAGACGAGAAATTTCGGCGTATTTTCCATGAATGATCAGTACTTGCCAAAAGGCCATAGCTATGTGCGCTGTGATTTTCTTTACTGGAGTCATATATGGTAAAAATTTCACAGAAATATCTCCATAAAAAAAAAGAGTCTCGGTCAAATCTCCATAAAAAAAAAGAGTCTCGGTCAAATTAGACAAAAAATAAATTAACCGCCACACTTTTAGGTGCCCTTTTTATCCTAATTCACTCACGGAACAACAAGTGGATCAATACCCTCGCTTTGGTTTCTGGAAGTAGCGAAAGCAACATCAAAGAACCTCACAATGAATGGGACTGTAGGGATAATTATCGAGACGGCTCTCTGTGTAGGAATTAACTTCCGACATATACTTCTTGTCTAGAACCTCCACTTTTTCTCTACGAGTACCCTCTTTCGACAGTACGTTCTTCGTATTGTAAGTTTAGATCCCATCGAGAGATGTACCTCGTTCCAACTTTTCACTTTGCCTACGTTTTGAAATATACCGTGTGTTCCACGTCGAGCCCACCATAGGCAAATAATTGAACTAATGTATTTTTTTGCGAAGGATCCACGAGGCCCTTGATATTGGGAATGGGCGATGCGTAACTGATATCACGAAGAATTTTCTGTACACATTTTTGCCTCAAGTTAAGCTGATAGTTTCAGTTAACCTGTTTTCGTCAGAGTGAAGTTCCAGCAAGTGGCCGTCTCCGTTTAGAAGGATTTTTATTAATTGACAAGTTCTTCGTCTAGTTTACGAAAGTGTCAAGTTATGTTATAATTTTTGTTAGTTAGACTATTCATACCAAAACGTTTCGGTAAATGTTATAACGAATCATGGTATTTAAGTGAGTCTTCCTTTGCGAAAAAGAGCAAGGATGGCTTTTCAAAGCTTGCTTTTATGAACTCGGTGGAGGGGATGTAGAAACTGAATTGTTCTCCAATGGAGAAGGGGCATGAATTATTTCCTGAGATGTTGTTTTTGAAAGTGCGACGTGCCATAGCTATGTGCGCTGTGATTTTCTTTACTGGAGTCATATATGGTAAAAATTTCACAGAAATATCTCCATAAACAAAAAAGTTGGCGTTGCGCATTTCGCGTATGAGCACATTTAATTTATGCTATAGGTATGCGATGTTTGTTTTTACTAGAAGCGTTTATGGTTAAACTTTAGAGAGATTTTCATAAGTAAAAAAGTTGGCATTTTGCAGTCTGCGCATGCGTGGATTTGATTTTTTCTATGTGCGTTATGTTTGCTTTTCTTAACGACATTTGTAGATAGACATCCTTATCTGGAACACAGTCTATAGTTGCACTTCATCCAGAAGTTCTGGTAACGACGGGTTATCCGTACTCATTTATTATTAGCGTTAAATGATCATCTGCGACGGCCTGAAGAGCATTAAGTATTAATATACCTATTGAAGTTTAAATTTTATAATTTTTTTTCGCTAAAACGATTTTTTAGGTCAGTAATTAAATGATCAAGAATCGTCTAGGACTGTCTAGGAAGGGGCGCGCGCCCCCCTTTAAATCCGCCCCTGATCGCGATCTAATTAGAATTATTAATTTAAGGGGTACACTTTGTTTTTTTTTCAAGTATAACAATAGAGATCGGAATAAACAAAAATAAATACGGTTTACGGTGGTAACGTATACGATAGTTTTGAAGCAAGAATTTTTGCACAGAATGTGTATTAGTTTCACGAATGATTTATGGGGATTTCACTGGAAACACGAGACGAATTGGTGTGTAGCCGAGGGCGTATAGGGTTATTTCTTTTGGACTACCAGTTCCGGTAAAGTAAATCATAATTTTGTCAAATAGAAACCTTGAATATTCTTATTCCACATCGGAAAATAATAAACTTCCGTGGGAAACGTTTTTGTCTAAACTTATTATTTTTTGAAGACACTCAAAAAGCGCTATTTTTGGATTGAGCTAGGAAGCTGTTCTGTCAAGAATTTGGCCACTGGTTCTATTTCATCATACCATTGAATAAAAACACCTATTTTTATTCAATGATCATACTTATATGGTAGAACAAGGAATGAAGTGAAACTATCTTCGTCTGCGCAATCGAATTCCAATATTATTGTTTCTTGATATATTTCAAACCAATTTTACACATACTAATAAATTTACATAAGTGGATTTGGGCAATCGAACGCATGCCTGAACCAGCTTATAATCAAATTGACATAGACATTTCTTTAGTAAAAGTAATATATAATTTATATTTAAATAATTTGTGTGTACGTTTAGCACAGTACAGAATACGTACGAGTAGCAACAGTTAAATACTTGCCTGACATGTAGTTCCTATTCGGTAACCAGTAATACTGATTCCTGGATCTGCATCCCAAAACTCCAAGTACCAGGCACGCGAATCCAGATACGATTCCAAAATCCAAAAAATACAGCCTGCCCATAAACGAAACCATATAAAAGCATAAACCAGACGTCAGTCCTCCACAAAGAATCATCATGACCGCTGCCACAGTTAGTGTTGTATGTACCGGCTGCTTTTGCCCGCTGATGTTCATCCACGATTCCGACTTGTTGGAGAACGTCGTTTCACTATACACGGACTGTACTGGGCTCGAACAGATCGGAGCGACGATCGCCGTGTGACGCTTATCGGGGACTCTTTGGTGCGTCGATAGCACAAAATTGAGCTTCTGTTGCACCTTGGGCGTTTTGTGTTTTCTAGGAGTTATTTTTGACGCGACGAATGGATCGGTTGGTTTACGGGGGGAATGCGGCGACGTCAATCTTGGAGGATATTGTGCAGTTTTTTGGGGGGTTATCAGCAGTTCGTGCAGTTTTTGGGTTGCCTGCAAGTTTGTCGCTTTCTTAACCGCAATTGGCGAAGTGATTCGTTTGATTGTGTGAACTTCTTCTCTAGGCGGTGGGTCGTCAATACAATCGATGTATTCGTACCTGGTGTTGGGTTTGTAGGGAGATTTGGGTTGCTTGGGTACTGTCGCGTATTTGTAGGCAGTTTCATACTTATCAATGCTGGTGCATAGTTCGGTTTCTTCGTCGCCCGGTATCACCGCGTATCTGTGCATTCTTCTGTGGGAAAGTTCGTAGGATTCTTGGGAGTATTCCTTTTTATGAGGCGACGGTTGAGTACTGGAATGTTGTTGTAGGTGAATGTATTCGTAACGAGTTTTTGGACTCCTTTGATGGTTCTGTACGTCGCTTTGTGTTGGTACAATCGCGTACCTGTTGCCGTTTTGGCGATCGGAGTTTACCCATTGCAAATTGTGATTGGGAACTGGTGAATCATAGTTGCCATTAATCGTATCTGGCGATGGAAGTATAACTAGTTTCTTTCGTTTAACAGTACCATTGCCGTCCACGAGCATTTCTTCGTAAAAATTCTGCTCGTGATAATCTTCATTATCGCAATTAAATTTGATAGGCTTGGGTCCCGGTTTTGGAGGAAGGTTGTCGTGTAAATTGTGGTAAGTGTTATCTGTGGTACGCGATGGTGATAATGCACCAACCGGAGATTGTCTTACATTTCTATAATTTCTTGTGGGACTCAAATTTTTTATAGGGCTTGGAGAGGTCGTTAAAGGGTAGTTATTGTAATACTCACTGTTCTGACAAAACGCCGGATTCGTATAATAATTATTATCATGATCACGGTTCGCCATTTTTCACACGCACATTACGTAACTTTTTAAAGCACAAAAAGCGACAGTATTCACAAAAACCGTTAACGTGTACATATGTAAGGACATTACTTTAACGACTGGTGTTGCTCGAGGTGGGTTGTGCGTAACAATAAATGGGGGACAGCAGCTGCATATGTCTCACGTCATATGTTTACGGAGGGTAGATACCATAAACGTAACGGTAGCCGGGAGTTACCTTTTGTTTAAGAGTTAATTGAATAAATCCTTAATGAAGAAGTTAAGAAAGGAAAAGGCAGATAGGAACGGTTTATCGAGACAAGCCGGGACAAGAAAACCAACTTTCATGCAGTATATTTTGCTCATAAAAGGGGCGCCATAAAAGGAAATTATTCCGAGATGTCGCAAATGTAAATGCAATTCCCAAAAAAAGAACGACGCCACTGGAAATGATGTGCAGGGCACAAACAATAGGGACGAATACATTACGCATTTTAATTTTATTATATGCAGTCGTAAGACTGACAGACTATTTACCAATGCATAGAGTTTTTACCATTACCGCATAGATCGAATCACATAAAAAATTATTGCCCAAGTTACAAAAAAATTTCATACAACTATAGTGTCACAAAAGTCGACAGTTCCAGTTAATTACCTATACATAATGAGCAGGTGGAATCTTTAAGCACTTTCATTATACAGACGACCATATTTAGGGCAGCTGGTACGTTATCCACGTGCCCTTCTATAATAAACGGAAGCGAGAGCGCATCTGATATGACGGATCTTTTCAGAGGTTTGAAACCACTTAAGGGTCTTATTTTTAATAGTAACGTCTTTTTTTCAATAAAAATTTAAGATTGTAAAGTATGCGCAAATTTTCAATGTGGCAAAAACATTAGCCAAATTTAAATGTAAGTTCAAAAAAATTGTCTGTTTGCTGAGGTGCTAATAGAATTTCTGTAAGGAGGTAAACAGTCTAACGCTAACCACTCATTCAAAGACAAAAAATACCAAATACTTTCACGGATGCCTAAACACCCTTTATTTTTCAACAAAAAAAGTAACATAAACTCTTTCCACCACAACGTACCTATTCGCTTTTCCTCCGGTTGGAATCGTTGGGGCGATTCGTCTATACTTCTACTACGGGGAATCTTATAAGATCGTTCCCAACTTCCAATTCTCTTTCATTCCAATCTAATCAAACGGTAGCAGGGAGGAAATTTTAAGTCTCTGGAACTAGCGAAAGGCATCCTAACGACCCTCAATTTGGCCATATATAAAATAAAAACTGTAACTTCAAGGGATAATCGAGATCAACACTTTCTCTTTGTGGATTCCGATATTCCATTCTCGATATACAGGGTGTTTTGCAGTGTTGTGCGCTAAAATTCCGTTTATCAACTTTCTCTTTTTTTAATGAGTGCCATTATTGGATTTTTACATGATTAAAGAAAGTTTTTTTAAATTCAAAATGCGATTGCTTTATTTAATTTGATAAGACGTTTAACTTGTAAAAAATTTGCAGATGTGCCTTTTGCTAAAGCTAAAAAGTTACTGTAGTTGACGTTGGCGTGGTAATAAAATGCTTGTGTTGTATTGGTATCCAACTATCCAGTTTTGTCATCAGTGAAGTTCGTCTTGAAACAAATTAAGGTCTCTCCGCAATCGTTTCTTTCGGCAAACAAGTACGCTGCAAAATCGTTATACCAAACGATCAAGGAGCCAGTTTCTAACTTCACAACAAATTAGTTTGAGCCTCAAACTTTCAGGTAGATTTAATTTATGTAGTGTTGGAGAAAGTTAAGGATTCATATAAGATTTAATGTTTTTGGTAATTGTTTTACAATTTTGTAATTGCTAACTCAGTAAGTTTTGAGTCTCTCGTTAATTTGGGCAAGCCGAGTGCTTTTGTAAAGTAAAAATTTTTAAGTGGTTGTTAGCATATAGTAATGAGGTTTTATGTTAAGATGTAGTTGGTTAGGTCTTTTGTAGCCATTTAGAGTGACACACAACGGGGTTACAATCTTAAGTATTTTAATAAGTGAAATAACCTCAATTTCTGGGGGACATTTCTTGTTCTGTTGTGTTTCGTCGAAATCTCGCGCACTATCTGTAGCTTGGGTTCTCCTTTGCACTAATAAAAATAAACAGTACCTATAGTTGCAAAAATGAAGTTTAATAAAGGTAAGACAACGGAACATCCAGCGGCAATTGACAAGTCAAAATCTGTAAACGATGACGGCGGCGATAGTCGGCAGAAGTCACAAGACAGCGGAACTGCGGCAGGAAACGACGGGACGGGAGAGCTTCGGACGCCACCAGAAATTTGCGGTCTCTCATGCTTCTGGACAAGATGCGGTCGGCGATGGTAAGCTCCAGGTAACGCAAATGGAGAACGGCGGTTCCGGGAGTTCTAAAGCGCAGGCGGTGAGCGGCAACTAGTGAATGCTAAAACAAGCGTAAATCGCACAGTAATAATTATCCTAAGCGGGAACCGTAAGTAATCGGATCAGAAGTGGTTTCTACGAGAAAGAAAATACAGGAAAGCGAGTCAATATCCCCCCCCCCCCTCCCCGCCCCTCCTCTGTTATACTTAATGAAACGGAAAGCAGCAAAAAGCTTACCTTACAATTAAAGGAGCGGTGGGAATTACTGTGCTAGAAAAAGCAAAAGCTATTGTTACGATGCGGTAAACTTAATGTAAAAGCAAAAATTAGACGGTTTCAATGCAAAATAAATTTATGGAAATTAAGTGGGCGGGGTTTCAACCAAGGCTTTACAAATATCTATACCCGAATCCGGATTCCAATCTGGGACCCTTAGTCGAGTTTCCACGTCCTTGGGCCACACAAGAAAGGCATTTTTCAAAATTAACTCTATGGGAATCTAGATTTAGATTGATGTCTACTGTAACTTTATTTTTGAGTATTTCTTGTCCTCCACACTTTATCGTTCTGTCATCGTTCTCGTTCGTGTTCGTTCTTTTTTTTCCGTCACTTCCCGAGCACAATCTTGCACCATAAAACAAGGTCACTCCTTAGTTAGTTGTGTAACCGGAAAATCCCCTTCACCACGGCCACCGAATGCGCTGGCAAAATTTACAAGGTTATACGTATCGACGGTCATTTGATTATGCAAGGTTAATTTGTTTTCTAATACGTCTCGGAAAAACCACGTTCCTAATAAATAGTGTGTATTAAGATACAAGTGTATAATCAAGTCTTTAAAGCACGCGCAACGAGTTTAAGGGCACGACGCAAAGCGGAGTGCCTTTAACGTTGCAAGTGCTTTAAAGACCAATTATACACGTGTATCTTATAGTATTTTTTATTATACCTGCAGTATAATTTAAAAATAGGAAATACAATGAAATCATATTGACGTTATACTCGAATACATGTCTAATTAAGTGGGCTAGGTGTTTGTAATTTCACGATTGCCATGGAAATGTCACTTGACGTTTGCTTATAAAAATCATCGTCTTTGCGAATTAAACGATTTCCGTTGAAAAAGATAATACACCGTCCATTAAATCGATTGTTGTGAAATCTAAACAAACGTTGGTAGGTGTAAAATCCAAATCCAGTAAAGCCTATTATAAAGAATATGAAAAGTTGTTTCCATGGATGGAATAGGAAGTTACTTACGAATAAAGTCTTAAATGCATCCGCTAGCATATATGAAGGAAATGTGGGTACGTTACGCTAACAAGCTCCCCAGGTATGATCATGAAATTGATAGAAATGGATAGAGGACACTTTAATAACACGTTTAGAATAAAAAAATTTGCGGAAGAGGGCCTAAATTTTCCACAATCTTAATTAAAAGTTCACCTCATTTTCTGGAAATCTGGTGTTATTTTACGTATATTTTGTAATTCTTAAGTTGGCGAAACTGAAAAATTTTATGTGACAACTCTTTTTCCACTAATAAACACAGGTGACAGTAAATTTGTGTAGGGGGTTATGTTAACTTCTTCGTCTACTAAAATGAAATGTGCTGGATTTAACGTGTATATTAATAGAATGTAATAAAAGTAGTACAACAGGTATAATATACAATACAATTTTAGGTTTTGTTCGACTTAAACACCAAATAAGCGACACTTCCATGTGACTGACATTTTAATAACACCACTTTTTGAAACTTATACAATCTAAACTTGAATGCATCAGGGAAGAAGGATGTCGTAGAGAAGGTTGCATGTGGCAAAAATCGATTTCTTGGTATCGCTCACCGAGAGGGGAAACCCGGGCACTTCCTGCATGTTTCATATGAATCGCTGCTTAGCATCCACCGCCTAATACGTTCGAGAGGGGAAGGAACATCTCTCGCATTTCCCATGGATCGCAGCTAAGTTAGCGATCGCCGCTTAACTTGGAACGCCTTTTTCGTATCCATCGCCGCTTAACTTGGAACGCCTTTTTCGTATCGATCGCCGCTTAGCATCCACCGCCTAATACGGTCGAGAGGGGAAGGAACATCTCTCGCATTTTCCATGGATCGCAGCTATGTTAGCGATCGCCGCTTAACTTGGAACGCCTTTTTCGTATCGATCGCCGCTTAACTTGGAACGCCTTTTTCGTATCGATCGCCGCTTAGCATCCACCGCCTAATACGGTCGAGAGGGGAAGGAACATCTCTCGCATTTCCCATGGATCGCAGCTACGTTAGCGATCGCCGCTTAACTTGGAACGCCTTTTTCGTATCCATCGCCGCTTAACTTGGAACGCCTTTTTCGTATCGATCGCCGCTTAGCATCCACCGCCTAATACGTTCGAGAGGGGAAGGAACATCTCTCGCATTTCCCATGGATCGCAGCTACGTTAGCGATCGCCGCTTAACTTGGAACGCCTTTTTCGTATCCATCGCCGCTTAACTTGGAACGCCTTTTTCGTATCGATCGCCGCTTAGCATCCACCGCCTAATACGGTCGAGAGGGGAAGGAACATCTCTCGCATTTTCCATGGATCGCAGCTATGTTAGCGATCGCCGCTTAACTTGGAACGCCTTTTTCGTATCGATCGCCGCTTAACTTGGAACGCCTTTTTCGTATCGATCGCCGCTTAGCATCCACCGCCTAATACGGTCGAGAGGGGAAGGAACATCTCTCGCATTTC